AGCATGTCATATTCCAAAGGTTTTACATTTCAAACAAAACCTTGCAATTTAGGGTGCACATTTTAAAAAGTATATTCAAATGTCATGGGCTACTATCTGATATGTGTTTAAAATGTTTTGTAAAAGATTAAAGGAAATCTAGGCATCATGGTGTGCTGTCTTCTTAACAAAAGTTCAGCTGAGAAGAAGAAGAAAACTAGATCACTAGACAAGGTACATAGATGTCATCTTGCATTTAGTATTCCAGGGTGACTGCTGCGTACAGAAGAGACACCCTTTTTCTTGGTGGCTTGTTCTGTTCGTAACATACACACACACACACACACACACGCACGCACGCACGCACGCACGCGCACACACACACACACATGATTTCAGTCATCCAAATATAAAATCTGACAGCAAAATTATCTTTAAAAGTTCACAACTGTCAAGGAAATACATTTGCTAGGCTACTAAAAATCAGCTTGGTCTTCTGTGGTGGGAGCAGGTGGTGAAGGCACTGCTGCTTTCATAGCTTTACTGGTTTACTATGGCCAGAGCAAGAAGTGGTGTTATAGATTTCTCTTCATTCATTACACTGTAGTCAATCAAAAGCAATTATGTACAGCTCCTCCATGGATGGTCTCACAAGAATGGTCCCTCCCTATAAGTATGTTGATGAAATTATAGGCTTTAGAATGGGCACATCCACATCCCAGTCCTGCCATGTCTCAATGTTTTGGGAAGTGGAGGAAGACCTAGATAGTAGTGCACTGTCTCCAGTCCACCAGCCCACTGCATACTAGCTCTTCTGGATAATCATTGTATTTGAAGTCTACAGTTGTCAACAGTGTTCTGGCAGTACTTTTGAGGCTCAAAAGACAAAATATTTCTTTCAATAGCTGAAATTATGTTGCACAACATACACCATGTAAGGCTGATGATGCCATCAGCTGCAGCAATATTTTGAAAAGTAAAGTTAAAGTCAACAGTTTATTGATTAATTGATTATATAGACAAGAAACCCAGATTATTTTTCCCCAAACACCCTAAGGCTCCTTTTGGATCCCTTGTGTCATGTGGAAGCCATTGGAGGCTGCAGGAATGGGGGCAGGAAGTCTTTAATTTCTGCCACAAGTAAAATAATTCAAGGCGTGGTAGTTTTCAGCAACTGAACACTCCATCTGTCCTGTATTCCACAACCATATCCCCATGATGTAAAGGATTCCAAAGGAGCCTTGGGGGGGGGAGGGTATCTGAAATGTTTAATTTCTGAAAATTACCACAGCTGATGAAGTCATCAGCCTTACATGGCATAAATTCTGGCAACAGGATTTCAGCCAAAACTGTGACGATCACCCCACATCACTCATGCCATTCATAATCATGAGCTGATTTGCATGAGCCTATGAGAGGAGTGGATGGGTGGAGTCAGTGGATATAAGAAGGTTTGGCAGAAGAGATGAAGAGATATAGAATTTGCAGAGAGAGAGAGAGAGTCAGGGAGATTGTGAGAACAGATACTAATAGAGATAAGCTGATCAAGATAAATAGATAGAGCAGGTGGTGATTGGTAATGTGGCAAGACATATGACATTTTAATGATTTGATTGTATGCTTTGAATAAAGAACATCCATGATTCTGATTAAGTTTAACACCCTTCAATAAATACTGTTGGCAGTAACCAGACAAGTGTCTGACTAAAGTTCTTTATATACTGTATTGTGGATAAAGGAAATCCACTGGTGGCAGTGAGGAAAAGAGGGAACATCACAGTTGGTATCTGCTGGTAGGATGACATAGTGTGAGCCCTTTGTTTGGGGAAACAGGCAGGAGCCATGTGGTGAACATCACACATACAATGAAAGGTTAAATGAATTATATATCTGAAGTAAATACATTTAAATACATGCCAACAAAACTTCAAGTAGATTCTTAGACAAGACAACTTACAAAGAACATAGGTCTACTGCTATATACTCCTTAGTTTCCATGGATAAGTTGCTGGAAGCTGCCCAAAGACCTTTGGGTAGTGTGGGCAGTGTGGTGCACTGGACCCCCTAAGGGGCAAGTTGCACTCGGTCAGAGAGTTGAACAGGCCACTTACCTACCACCTTTGCGCTGGGGCAAGTCCCAGGATATCAGCAGTGTGTAGCATAAGCCCTTTGAACAAGTCTGACCTAAAAAAGAACACTTTACACTTAACCAGTAGTTTGCAAGAACTGACACAGAACTCACTAAAGCTCAGTTAGGTAGGACTCTTAAAAGATAGCTAGTTTGTGGTCCTCTCCACCTCCTGGATTTAGCCAGACCCTGCTGTTCAAGAGACCAGTCCTTTTGTAGAATTTTTATAATTAATTTTTATTAGAAAAATAGAGTTTCATTAGAAATCAGTTTATATTGCACAAGCATTAGCATCAAAGATCATTGCAGTTAAATAAAATGTAAAGATCATTGCGGTTAAATAAAATAACTCATTTTCTCATTTACTCTCATTTTCTGCAGATGTACTTGGGAGAGATGGAACTGGTTCTTCATCATTAGCATCTATGTTTTCTATTGTTGAAGCAAAGAAAAATTCTGCAAGGCATGTTGTCTTTGCCAGGACAGCAGCATTTATTTCATTGCTTTCTCTTCTGAGCCCCAGGCAGCTGAATTATCCATGGCATATTGGGTCTCCTGTGTGAGAATATATGGTCATTATGAGGTTATGCACATATGCAGTCATAGGCTATGTTCCTCAAGGGTGCAAGTGCTCTATGCATCATTCACTTGACCCACCAAAATTCATTTAAAACTGATACAATATACCCAGGCCTGGATTAAGACCTTTAGAAGCCATAAGCACTGAAAAGATTGTGGTGCCCTCTAAGAAAATAACACAAAGCGAGGCCCATGGCTTGAAAAAAAAAGTACAATGGGCACATTATATGCATGAATATAACTCAAAGTGAGGCCCATGGCTTGAAAAAAAAAGGACAATGGGCACATTATATGCATGAAAATATGGTATTTTAATTACATAGAATGTGACAAAAAAGAACCACATATTGTATACAAAACCGTATGTACAATCAAATTACCAGCTTCCAGTAAAATCATGGACTGTCACACTTTGATGAGTGTAGTCAGATTTTGTCAGAATCTGTAAACTGAAGTCTCAAACAAGAGCTTAAATTCCCTTTTGGGAATTTTGTCAGAATCTGTAAACTGAAACCTCAAACAAGAGCTTAAATTCCCTTTTGGGGTGTTTTTAACAGTGGCTGTTATTTCTTTGTCTTGCTTATATAGTGCAGAGACCATGGTTCTAAAAGAACAGCCATCCTCCCAAGATACAGAAGTAAACACACACACATACACACAGAAACACACACCAAGCAGTGATGATGGTGACTGATAATTTCACTCAAAGCATGAGTTGTCTCGCTAGGCAAGTCTTTATATTTTTCAGTTTTTATTCATTCATACTCAATTCCTTCAGGTAGGGAAGAGTTTTTCTTGGGGCTTGAGAGAAAGGAAGGAGAGAGCCAAGGATGAGGGATGGATAGATATAATTGGTCAAGGAGAGTGCAATATTTGCATCATGGTCCATGTTAAATCCAGCACTGAAAAAAAAAACCTCTGTGGTGTCTCTTTCCCTTGTTGGTGCCCTAAGCATGTGATTATTTTTTAAATTGTTAATCCAAAGCTGAATAGAGGCATGAATCATTACATGGAAAGTCTTTCTGGAAAAGGAAGATCCCTAAAGCAGAAGAATGAACTTACAATGAACTTTCTTCAAAGCCCTCTTCTTCCTGAAGACCAGAGTTGTTAGTGCAGTGCCTTTGCCCTGAGAGACTCCTGCCCAGTTTGCAAAAAACAAAAACTAACACAGGAAACTCCATATCGCAGAATTTTTTTAAATTTAAGTAAAGGTAAAAGGTAAAGGTTCCCCTTGACAATTTTTGTCCAGTCGTGTCCGACTCTAGGGGGCGGGGCTCATCCCCATTTCCAAGCCATAGAGCCAGCGTTTTGTCCGAAGACAATCTTCCATGGTCACATGGCCAGTGCGACGTAGACATGGAACGCTGTTACCTTCCCACCGAGGTGGTCCCTATTTATCTACTTGCATTTGCATGCTTTCGAACCGCTAGGTTGGCGGGAGCTGGGACAAGTGATGGGCACTCACTCCGTCGCGTGGATTTGATCTTACGACTGCTTGGTCTTCTGACCCTGCAGCACAGGCTTCTGCGGTTTAGCCCACAGCGCCACCACGTCCCTTTTTTATATAATTTACTTGATTAGTATTAGACAGAACAATGTTAATATTTGTTGTTTGATATGTTGATGTTGATACTTTTGTATATCATATATTAATGCTTGAAGTTTTGTTTAGCTGCAACATGAAGTTTCCTGTGTTGTTTGCTTATCTTCTATTCCGTACTCCCTAGATTTTGATCAGTTTGCAAAAGCCCAGATATTTGATCTCCTTGGCTGAAGGAAAGATCTGGAGCAGATCCCCAGTTCTTTCCAGCTAAGTGGAAGTAAGCAGATCTGTTCCAGCTAAGTGGAAGGAAGCAGGAAATCTGCTCCAAAGTTTTTTGAGAGCAAAGATCTAGTCTCTGTCCTTTTGCAAACTCTGTGTGGGCCTCCCCTTCCTTCGGGACTCTGCTTATATTGCTTAATGGTAAGTTCAGGCACTTTTACAGATGATTACAGGCAAAATATTGTTTTAATAAAAGAACATTTTAATAAAAGAAACTAATTTTTTTAATTCTTATATTTTTGTAACGGGGGCCTTCTGGCAGGGGTTCCTCATATAGTGCCCTCTTTTCTTAGAATGAGAGTTATAGTACTTTGTGAATCAGCTAAATTGCATTCACTTTGTACCTATTCATGGATATACAAACAGCAGATTTCTTCTCTTACCCTATGTTTAAGTTTCAATTAAATTACGTTTATGGGTGGGGGAATCTATGATCCTAGTTGCACCCTCATATTAATCTTACCACACTTGCTAAGAAAAGAGGAAGAGGAAGGCCTGGACAAAACTCTGTTTCTTTGAGAGAAATCTCTCTTGAAAGGACATTTCCTTTTGCTGTTGCTTTTCTGTTAAGAAACCAAGGCTTCAGAATTTACTGGTAAGGGATATTACATTTGATTTATGTTGTACTTGGTTGATGCTATCTCTTTTTGAGCTTGCCTTGGGTTTTGTGCTTCTGGGGGTAGAATGGCGCCACCCTACAGCTGTCCACTGTAGAATGATGTGGAAAGTGTCACCTGTTCTGTTTTTGCCAAAGGTGACAGTGGGGATGCTGTAACTACTGTAGAAGATTCAAGGGCATACCTAGCGACTGCTTGATTTTACCGTTGCTTTTCAAAGGTACTGTTGTTGCTGCCGCCACTGATGTGGCATCAGGTGATTTTAGATCCCATGGCCGGTACAATACATGGACATGCTTGTAAGTTAGATGTTAGGAAGGTAAATGCAGAAAGAGAACGATTATGTGAAAATGAGCAACAAATACTCTCCTAAAGCAATATTACATTTTTACTTTGTTTTCTCTGTGTTTTAAGATTACTTCACCCGAGAAATTTAAAGTATTATTATAATTTGCAGTTCCTAACATGACTTTTGCATCAAACAATACTGCTAACAGAGCAACTAGTGGAGTATAATATATGAAAAGGTGAGAGCCATGGTTCCAGAGCAGTGTTTTGGCATATATGAAACAGGCCACTTCAAGTGAGGTTCAAGGAGCTACTCTAAGAATTCAGTACAGTTATTTTATGTTATGTGCTTTGCTTGTGGCTGGTGCAGAAGGTACGACTTCCTCATTGAGGACTGCAGTAAGTGATTCTTTCCACCTTGCATGCAGTGGCTTGCTGTGCCAGTCAGGTAGTTTCCTCTGTGCACATCAATACTAAGGAAGGGGCAAAGAGCTCTGTGTTTGCCTGGGAAAAATTGGCTGGTCTGTATGTTACACTGCAGCACAAAAATTGTTTGCCACATAAAGACCACTATCAGATGGAATAATCTTAAATGAGCATAACATGAATGCACTGAGTTAGGAGCATGACAATGCAGGAGGTTGGGGGCCACTTACTGTGTCATTTGTAGAGCTAGAGGTCAACAGCGCTTCCCTTAGCAATTCGTCTTTTGCTTCTTTACAATTGCTGTTGCAGAAGCTTGTCATTGTGGTTTGTAAGAATTAGTATGTGGGAAACAACTTCCCTGTTTTCTCTTTATTGCTTTTCAGTAAGTCCAATTAGTTTTGTATTGCCAACCCCTGTGAGAAAACTTGGAGTTTCCCTGCCTTATATGGAAATAGATTAGTTGTAATAGATATTCACAACTTCACAATGGGAGAAATGATCAGATATTCGCAACCTCCCAATGTGAGAAATGGTCAGGTGACTGATACGTTATAATAATCTTTGAACTTCAGAGCTGGAAGGGACCCTATAGATCATCAACTCCAGCCCCTCTCAAAGAACCACAGTGGAGAATTGAACTTTAAACCTCTAGCTCCGCAGCCAGAGATCTAAGCCACTGAGCTATCCAGCAGTCCTTGTCACATTCTAGTTCCTCAAATTATTTGCATATTATGCAATTCACCTTCTCATTATACAAATCTTGTGATATGACGGAAAACAGTTGACCAGTAGCACAACCTTACTAATACGAAAAAAAACCCTCTTTTAAAAAATTATTTACAGAATCCACTAAACTTCTGATACTGAGCAACATAACCTCTTTCCTAGTTTGGAACTTGGGAAGTGCCTAGATTAAAGAACTTGTGGTATGTCCCAGGTACAGAATGTGCGAACAGATCAACCAAGAAAGAGTCACAAAAACATGTTAGTGAAGTAATACACATTAAGAACAACAAAACCTCCACACATGACTATTAAATACAGAACCTACAAGTGTCTGATTATGACTAAGCTAAATCTTAGGTCCACATTCTGTCTGAAGAAGGGGAACAGTCATATTGATTTTTGCACTAATTACTGAAATAATATATGGAAACTGCTTTGTATGCTCAAGAAAAAACACTTCTAAATAATATTGGTCAATAATATAACAGTTATAATAGAATTGCATAATGCCTCTCCAGATTGCCTTTTCCCTTAGAAAAGAACTAGTTTTTGTTTTCAAAAAAGGATTTCTGGGCCAGCTGTTTCTGAGTAGAAGGCTTTCCATTTCTGACATACAGTTATTTTTTAAAAAGTTAATTAATAGAGTAATGCTATACATCTCTACTAGAAGGAAACAGCATTGAAATTCACCCCAGGGATGGCTGGGACTCCACGCTGGCTTATGATGTAAATAGGCACTGGGTTGCATGAGTTTAAGCCATGTAAACCACAGTCAGCCAAACAATATGACAATTTCAAGAGCTGAGTATGAGAGGCTGAAAATAGACTCCATTTTATTCCATTATGGAAAAAAAAAAACAGTCTGCCTTGGGCAGCCACTTCATGATGCTGGTGGTTGTGATTGTTCCCCACTATTAGCTATCCTGGCTGGACCC